AGAAGTCAATCCATGAACCAAGCAAGACCTTAAGTTGTTATGGCTGTGATAGTTTCTAGCCAAAAACAATTGTTTATCATCACATAAGACCAAAGCTTGTTTTTCCAATTGGCACAGAAGTCATGTTACTAGTGATCTTTGTGATTGCTACGGTACAAAGCAGAAGAATACAGAAAACAATCGGATATAAGATCATTAATTTCTATCACTAGATATCAGCAACGTATGAAGATTTCGTATTCGACGAAATGATTAAGGAATCAAGTGGTTAGCGCAAAGAAAATTTGTCCAATACGACGGAAAAAGAAGGTGTCAAGACAAAATATTGATAACCCTAATCTTAATAATTTATAATCAGCTTAGCATCAACTAAGCAATGAAAAGGTCTTACTAAGAATATTAAGTCAATTAAGTATCTTCTAGTTGTCAAATATACACAATTTGTTAGTCAATTGTTATAGAAACATGACAATCAGAAAAAGAAGCGATAAAAAGTTTGCTAGGTTGTTTGGGAAATCGTGGAAAATTAATATGACAAAATGTTATGGTCCGTTGGGGTAAATAGATAAAGAAGAGTAAGAAAAGACTTGCTGGTCAGTTGGCCCTTCTTCCTGCTCCCCACCTTTGGAGCAAAAATCCGTAAAATAATCTGATATGGAGCTTCGACCACGTACTAAAATAGCCAAACTATCAATTAATAGTAAAAGCTAAAAGCTATAGTTGGATACACTTTCCTTCACACAAAAAACAAGATACAAACTTCAATAGCAATTGGTACAATTGGGTATACATCTATACCCCCGATTTTATTAAGCAATTGGGACGGGATGAATTTTAGCAAGTTCATTAATAAAATAATCTTTATCTTATTAAAAAGAAAAAGATATAAACATCTATAGCGATATTATTCTTTGGTTTTGCCTATAGGCACTGGCTTATGTCCAAATTTGGAAGTTATCAATCTGTTACTGCTTGCTGTAAAGTTGAAGGATAGTTAACAGCAAAAATACTACTCTTTTTCTTTTTAAATTTTATTTTAGTAGAGAAGAAGTGAGATTTGAGAAATGGAGAGGAAGGGGAGGAAGGGGAGAGGGGATTAGAACCTAGAATCTCTAATTTAAGATATCTCAATTTTAACCACTAGATCAAAGTCTACTCGACTAAAAAGATACCACTCAGAAGTAAGCAAAGCCAGCAATACTTGAGAGATGATACTTGTACATATGGGGATCCATTTCTATATACCTGTTCTTATATTCAGAGGAAAAATATCTAAAGATGGATAGAAACATACCTTAAAACACAAATTCAATTTCATTTACGAAAAGTATAGCCAGTTTAAAGCTTGAGGTCGGATGCAATCTTCCAACTTCATTGGATTGATCTTAAAAGGAAAGAGATAGCTTTCTTCTACTTTAATCTAATTGAAAAAAATGGATTTCATAATAAAGAACATAAACTTGCTAAGGGCTTTAAGACAGTGATAGTGAATTTAATAGGTGTTTTATTTATGAAAATATTTTCATAATTTTGGCAAATTATTATGCTGATTTTTCTTATAATTTGTCTTTGGTGCTGAATTCAGGGGTTCGTGATTAAAAGAAGGTTAAAAGAGAAAATTTCAGAAGATTTGTTAAGAATGGATGTGGGCGCGTCGGTGAAGTCAGGAAATTTCAGGTGCTAACGATTGTTTTATCTCAATGATTGCCATAAGGTGATCAGATCCGTTGATGTGGACGGTGACGGCTGCGTTAACTTTGACGAGTTTAAGAAGATGATGGGAGGGAGTACTTGATTAACTAATAGCGTCTTCATGATTAACTGCAGATTTAGGATCTTAAATCACTTTGCCCTAATCATTTTTATCCTTTGATCTTCTCTCCCGTAGATTCTCCTTTAATATTGCTTTCGTTTTCTTTTTTCTTTTTTTTTGTTGTCGTTGTTTTGGGAGAGAAATTTGAGAAATCCAGTGCTGTTGATTGCTGTTTAACCACTGAAGCAATATAGGTAGAGTGATGGTTTTTAGTTAGTATTTGAACGTGGAAGCAGCAATAATGGCGGTGGAATTATTATCATCTTTGACAATTACTGCAAATATTTGGTTGGCTTGCGATAAGTTGCGCTGTTGTTGATTTAATTATTGTGTGTGCCCGTGGAGGCCAAAAGTGTAGAGCACAAGAAAACTATTTATGTGTGTGGTTCACTTCACGAAGACTTCATGTAGAGTGGTACCAATCTATGCCATGCTCCACACGGAGACGGAGGAGGAGGTTTGTGTTGTGCGCGAGTGTATTAATCCATGCACGCGTTTTTCTTCCTTTTCGCTTGCAGCCTTCAACTTCAACATCGATAAACCTTCAACTAGTAATCTTGAAAAACATCTGTTATAGGATAGAAATATAGGTTAAAATTGAAAAATTCAACCTGTGAATTAGCCCAATACTAGTTTTGGATTTCAAGCTACGTGTACCTGTTGCTCTCGCAAAAAATAAATCCTGCCTGCAGTAATAAATAAAATATTAGTACTTATAATTTTGTTAAGCTGCTAATTGTGCTTCGTTTATGATCGTAATGGATTTTTAGTTGCATTTAGAATTATTCGACATTAGGTTAAGAGAGCAATTCTTAATTCAAACTCGCCTGTAATTAGATTTTTTCACAGTGCGGAAGGATCAAAGTCCTTCGACATTTCGTTACAAAGCCCTGCAAAGTCCTCATGATTGCAATTTGCAGCCGGTTACATAACAAAATTACAAACAAATGAAGAGCAGAAGGAGAGTATCTGTGAAGTAAAATAAAATATAGATAGGAGAGAGTGAAGAGCGAGAACAGATTCATATCTGCCCTTTGCAACCAGAATTATATTGAAATGCATATTGTGCTATTTGCAACTAAGGAGTGCTGGATCAATTGAAAAGTTTTCTGGGCAATTCATCTTCCCATCAACATGATGATGTTGCCTTCTTTTAAGTTAATCACGCTTGAACCTGATATTGCGTTACGTGGTGAGGAATGCTCTTAGCTAGCCTTCCTTTATACTAAATGAGAATCTGCATGTTGTTCCTTCAGTGAAGGGTTCTCCATGTTCTCCATGTGTTTATATGTTGCGTGAGAATTGGATATTGACTAATATGCTCCAGGTGGGTAAACAAGATGGCGATGTATATCGCGTGTAGCATTAAATTTCTGCTACCAGTAAAACAAAAGCCCCTACATTTTTTTTTCAAATATTATTTTTTAATCACCAACGCATTTTTCAATCATGATTTTTGACCTTTTTAACTATTTTTTTTTGCCAAGAATTATTTCAAATGATATTATTATATGGCCTATCTATATCATATAATTGTACCCAAGATTATCATGTCAGTGTTGAGTATCATAACTATTATAACATATAATCAAATTTACCAACACTCTTTTTTTTTTTTCTTTTGGAAAAAGAGTGACAATGCTCTTAAATTCAAGTACATGCTAATCATTGCTGTTTTTGTGGTTATGAGATATTGATAAAATAAAGATTAATTTCCCCATCTAGAATTTTCAAACTTGAACTATGACGACAAAGTAAGATTGAAAGATTCCAAATTCCAATACCGTGACCAAATAATTCCGAGACAGCCTTCCACTTCTTGCGGCAGTATTCCGATCCCTTTTGGTCATCGCTTAGATTAATTAGCCTTCAAGAAATCTGAATGGTAATCGCTTAGATTAGACACAGTCTCTTTAGACTTCCCTCCCTCTAAATTAGGATAAATTAGGTTATAAAAATATCGTTGCCCTATATATATATATATATATATATATATATATATATATATATATATATATATATATATATATATATATATATATATATATATATATATATATATATATATGAATGATAATCGTGCCATTTCTCGATCTTGGAATAGGATTTTCGCGAGCCTGTGGCTGTGGTCATCCTTCAGGAGGGCGGAGTCCAAGCCTTCTAGAATAATAAACCCACGAGAAGCAGTAAAGAAAAAGAAAATATGCCCTGCCGGAAACGTTACTTAATGCACATCTAAGCTCAAAGAGAGTGCAAACGAAGTCGCGTGAATAGTTTTTCGTTCGCAACTTTATGGTGCAAACCTCATCATGCGGCAACGCACGCACAACCTAAATGGAAATCCATTATCAACCAAATTTTACCAAACCATTTCAGTTTGGTGGAACTAGGATTAGACAAATGAAAAGTTTGCAAAAGTTATCCGCATGCTAACAAGTAACAAATCAATAATCGAGTGAGTGAACCTGAGCTTTCTGAAAAAACTGCTAATATCAAGTGTTTGCGCTGTAAAAATCTGTGAATGGTTGAGGAGGTGTGTTTCTCCACACTTGTACAGCAACGCAAGAGGAGACTGATATACACAAAAGAAGGCCGAGGGACTGATGACCCCGCTCCTCATAGTCAATAGCTGAACTGTGTTAACCAATAGAAATATGCAGGAATCTCGGTTGGCTGATTCAATTGCGCTCTCGAGTCTCGTCCTCACATCACTCTTACCAAGTGGCCTGGACTATTTCTTCCCGGTCAAAAGTGCCAAGTTGTTGTCTTTCATTTCTTAGCAAAAGCACTACTAGTTGACACCTTCCTCCTCTTAGTTCTGCGATCCGCTTTTGGTTTTGAGCTCTAGCGGCTCCATTCAAGTCCAACCAAATTTAACCATCTCCGCTCCACTGTTGGCATCCACCATTTGCAGGCCTCGTAAAACCTTCAGGGTCCTGCTGTCCTGCATTCTAATGTTTCTCATTACCCACTTCCCAATGTAGCTTACTCTGACCGACAGAAGTTTGATGTGGACTGACTACTGGAGACGTTTGATGGAACTCTCTGGTTCACTGGATACTTGCCACTTGGTAGTGTTCGTTCAATTCATGTTTGCTTCCTAGAGTACATCTGCTAAATCTAGAAAGCAGAAATTAGACAATATGCCTGTAAAGCATAGCCTGGTTAAACTCGAAACACTGTACAATTCACAAATAAATATATATACACATCTCATTAACCTGCTAAACAGCTCATGGAAAACACAGTATCAACTCGGGCAATCTCTAAGCCTGAAGCCTGAATGAGCGTCAAGCAACAAGCTATAGAGCAGATATATCAAAACAAGGGATATGCAGATCATATAATAAGATCCATCCTCCAGAGGAACAAGATTTTTGCCTATGACTATATGTAACTATTCTTCACAATGACCTGCTGAATCTCATACTACAACCCATAAACGCTAAAGAATGGAGAAAAACATTTTTAAAAAAAAACCTAAATTGTCAGAAGAGTAGCCTAATCCTTCAATGGATTGCCGGGCAATCTCGTTGCAGATGTGAGGCAACTCCAGGTGCTTGGGAGTCATAGATACATTCTTTTTGGTCTATGTTGTACTTATCCACTTCCACCTGCAAGCCAGCTGCTTCGGAAACACATGCCGTCACACTTTCAAACCTCACCCCTGACAGGGACACTTCAGAAAGAAGTTTCCATGCATAGTCCTCTAAGGCATCATCGTAATCTTTTCTCCTCTTGAGTACCATATGTCCACTTATCTCCCAAACAGCAGGATTGACTTGAGTTTCCAGGACCTCGAGGCTTACTTCTCCAAGTGTTTGTTTCTCCGCATAACACTGTACATATTCTTCCAGGGAAAAGACAAAGCTCAAGTTAGGCTCCAAGCAGAGACTAGTATTTCAAACAATACTAACAACTCTAGGCAAAGAACTTATTGAAGATTCACCTCCTGCAGAACTCCCATGTATTTACTACTCAAATTAGAACAGAGACTAGCTGCAATCACTATTTTGTGTCACAATATCCAAGAACTATTCATAAGTGCAGAGAAGATTCTTCCAAAATGAGTTTTTAACAAAATTTCAAACCCATCAACTAACCAGAGTCAATTATTACCTAAGACTGTTCCAAGAGGGGTCTCTTTCTAGGCATAGAGACTTTTCATTTGAGCTAAAATTGGGAAGGTAACAAATTTTGGTTGTGCCTAAAGTTCTTTCAAAACAAATGTACACATGTATTACTACGTAAAGTACCAAATCAATTAACATACCCAAAGTTAATGTTTAAGTAAAGCTTTACATTGGTCTAAGTGCAATGGACAGGCATACTACTTTTTTCACTTACTCAGTCTGCATTTATTAAAAGACACCCTTGTACTATGATATAGACAGAATATAAATCATAAAAACAAAATCCATGACAACTGCGAAATACATTAAGCCAATTTATGTAAAATTGCCAACCGAATCATTAGAGAGCAGACAAATTTACCTGAGGGAGCAAAAAGATTTTCCTCCCACAATCAGCAATTAGAACATTAAAAGGAATGTTATTCTATTGGAGGTAAATGCATGAACTTGCAACAGCATCAGATGAGCCACGCAGTACACTTCCACCTTCAAATACAAGACCTCGAACAGGATAATCCAATAGCTCAGAGACCACCAAATCAGCACCCTGCAATCCTTTCCTGGTCATTATTCTGCGAGTTGGTGCTTTCTCAAATGGGAAAGTCACGAACAGATAATATGCCTGTTAAAGATTAGGAATTATTCAGCCAAAAAACCTCCTTGGAGCTATCTACAGCATCACCATCATTGAAAATGGTTTCAACCATTTACCTGGAAGTGAAGATGATTAATGGTGGCAAAGGCACCCAAACTGTTATAACCAACTCTTAAGAAAGGATCTGCAGCTTCTTACCAAAGATCTTATCCGAATTCATAAGATCTCTAAGAAAATCATTTAAAGCTTCAATCGCATATCTCTTGCACATTGGAGCCTCATCCCAAATAACTAATTTGCATTCCTTAATCATACTTGCTAAACTGCTTTGTTTACTAATTTTGCATGCTCTACCCTCTGAGGTATCAATTGGTATTTTAAACTGACAGTGAGCGGTTCTACCTCCAGGTAGTATTGATGCAGTAATACTTGATGTGGCTGTCGCTAATGCTATATAGCCCTTTGACCTAATATCAGCTAATAACGCTCTATAAAGAAAAGATTTTCCAGTTCCACCAGGGCCATCAACAAAAAATGCACCACTCTTATTTTCATAAACTCTTTTAGATATAACTTCAAATGCATGCCTTTGGTTCTGATTAAGCAAAGAAATCGCATTTAAGTCCTCTTCAAGGACTTTTATGTTTTTTTCAGCCAATACATCTCTTGTTTGGTTCTCTACATCTGAGAATGAGAAATTATTAGGAAGTAAGCCAAATGAAGCTATATTTTTTCCCATTGACTGCAGAAAACCATTTATTTGCTCTAAAACTTTTCGTTTGATTTCTCTAGGAGACAAATCAGTATTTTTTTAACTGTCCCAAAATATTTGTCATATTTGACATTTCTAACTATTTTATACTCTGAAATTTCCTTTATACCCTTCATTAATGATACATAAAGATAAATATGATGGGATTGTTTTCTACTTTTTACTTTGACCAACACATGATTAAGGGCAAAAGTGAAATAAAAGAAAAAATATTTTGATGGAGTGTACTATTTATAAAAAACACATATCCCCAAACATAATTAAATATATGGGATGGAGGAGTAATAAAATTGTCATTTTCCCCATTTTTTATCCTTGTAACAATAGAAGGTAGAAATTTTTTTTTTTTGATGAAATAGAGCTTCATTAATAGAGAGTAAAGTTATAGTACAAGAAGCAATCAGATTCCTTTTTTTTTTTTTGTAAGAAAGAGGTTACTACATTTCAAAGAATCACTACAACACCCAATGCAAAAGATCGAGTTTAAGATCTCGAATTTACAAAACGGGATAGATAGAATGCCCAACAATCATTCTCTACTAGTTTTGCAATGGCTGCAGGCTGGTCATTGAACACTTTGAAACTTTCTTCCTCTCTTTCTGCGCCCAATTTCAAAAAATCTGCACAGCAATTCGCTTCCTTGAAGATATGCTTCATGGTAGGTGTAAGGAAGCTCCTCATGATATTCCTGCAATCATTAATCATAGAAGAGTAGGTGTAAGAATAATTAGTGTATGTAGAGATCATATGAACAATCATAGAAGCGTCCATCTCAATACAAAGGTGTCGAATACTAAGAGATTTTGCCAGCAGAACCCCACCTCTTAACCCCCATAATTTCGCAATTGTATTTGAAGTCCACCCCAGATTTCTACTAAATCCATTAATCCATTCCCCCATGTAGACACCAAATTTTTGTCAAAATTTTAACGTTTTCTTGAATTTTTTCTATTTAGTAATTTATTTATTTTCTTACATTTTAATGTGCATTTTTCTTATTTTTGCAAGTTTGTTTAAAAAAAAAACAACAAAAAAACAAAACAAAACAAAACAAAAAAAGAGAAAATCAAGAAATCAAATCATCCTAATCATTTTTTTCCACCAAATACACTTAACCCATTTCTACACTCAATTTTCTTCACCTTTCTTGTCATTTGGTAAAATCATGATTTTTGACACTCTTCACTCGGCTCCTTTCCTGGACTCAACAGAGAACTAGAGAAGCCACAAAAGAAAATTTTTCCCTCCCTCTCTCGGCTGACTCTGAACGGACAGAAGGAAGAAAAAAAAAGGGGGACACTCTCTCGGCCTTTTCTTTTGCTCTCAACAAAACCAAGACTCCAATTTTTTTTCCCCTCTCAATACATCTCTCGAACCTCCTCTCTCCCAATATTTCCACAAGACCCTTGCAGACAACAAAAGGGAGGCAGCGATTGATTGGGCTATTGGAGCTTGGCAATCTCATCAAAAACTTTGGCCAAGGGACCAAGGTCTTCATTGAGGTATTTCTTGTCCTTTTTTCCAGCGTTTCTTTTTTTATTTAACTAGATTAAATGTATGTGTGATTGCTCGTGTGTTGTTTTATTTTGCTGGTTTTGTTGTCATTGTATCGGTGAAATTTTGGAAAGGTCATAAACCAGATTTAGGAAAAGGAAATGTTTCTTGTGAATGCATGTTAATTGTTTGAAAAAATGCCAAAATGAAAAAATGAATTTTAGGGATTGTTTTGCCTTAATGTAGTCTTTTGTTGTTGTTTTCTTGTTAGCTAAGAATATAGTTGTAAATGTAGAGATTATAAGGAGTATTGTAATATTAATTTTATGATTTTTGGTGAAGATTTGAGTGTTTAAAAAATATAAAAAAATTGGACTGTATTTTGGCATTTTGGCCACTTTATGGTCAACTTTTGTTAAAACTAAGCCCGGAAACGAAATCTACGCGAAAAATCGAGTGAGGGAGGGTATTTTGAGAAATTTTGACGACCGGAGAGATCGCCGGCGACCGCCATAGCCGCCAGCGAGAAGGGAGCTTCAGCTCCTCGGCAGAGACGGATGGGTAGAAGCACAAAGAAGAAGAAGAGAAAGAAAAGAAAAGAAAGAAGAAAGGAATTGGGTTGAGGTTTATTTTTCTGATGGGTTTTTTCTTTAATTCGGTTGGGCTAAGAGGTTGGAGCCCATGTAATTTTTTGATTGGGATTGAGTGATAAAAAGATGGGCTGGCCTGCTCGTTTCTCTTGGACTTTCGGCTGGGCTTAGATAGCGTTCAGCCCAAAGAAATAAAATGATGGCCCTATGGCCTTTTTCTTGCCCAAATCAGAAGCCGAAATTTGCACTTTTACCCTTGATCTTTGGAGTAGTTTCAATTCGGCCCAGAACATTTTAAATTTATTTCACTTAGGTCCTTAAATTAATTGTACTTTGGTCCTTGAACTTTATCTTTCATTTAATTTTGGCCCCCTAAACTTTGGAAAATTATATTTTTGACCTCAAAAGTCTTTCAATTTTTGCAATTCAGTCCCTAGTGAATTTTGACTACTTTTATTATGATTGTTTCTTTTCTTTAATAGCTAATTATGTTACTTTTGAGTATATTTAACTTGTACTTTTTAGATGTTCTTAAATTTCTGTACCTTTGACATGTTAAGGTGAATTTAGTACTTTTTATATATTATTATTATTGTTTTTCAATTAAATTGGTGCCATGATTCCTTTGTTCATTTTGAGTATAAATAGGGCAATTTGACTCCATTTAGTCACCACCTCAAAAGGGAGGTACTCCTATTATTATTATTTCAATGTCAATTACGTGCTCCTATGTGCTCCTACGTGTTCCTATATGTTTATATATTTTTATATGCTTTGTTTATTTGATTTGAATGTTCATTTAAATTTTCTTATGTTTGTTTAGTTAATTTTATAATTATTTGAGAGGCATTTAAATACCTCAAAAAATGTAATAGATAGGATAATTAGATTTGTTTTATTTTTATTTCCCCTTTTAGATTGTAGTTAGGCGCTCCCCGATGTAATAGGTAGGTTGTGTGTTTATGTGGCTTATGTGTTACGTGCCTTACTCGCTTTCCTTAGGATTTTTGCATCTAGATATTATGCTTATGTGTTACGTGCTACGTGTTCTTATGTGTTTATTTGTTTTAATTTATGCCTAGTTGTCTTATTATGTATTAAAAATGCATGACGTCACCACACTAGTCCAACGCTTGTTGTGGCTTCTCCTCCGTTTACTTGCTAGTCCAACGCTAGTAAGGATTTTTAGAAATGGGCTAGTCCAATACTAGACTGTTAGGTTATTCGTGCGCTAGATTCATTTTGTGTGATATTCATTACATTTTCATGCATATTTTTTAGGATCTTTTCTCATTTGCATGCTATTTCCTATTATATTATCCTCTACCCCTACCCTCTATATGTGTTAATCATGTCATTTAGAATTGCATCTCATTTTAACTAGTTCATTTGCTTGTCCAGATTAGGAAAATTATTTTTTAAACATGGGAAATTTGTGATTATAACTTTTTAGTTTAAATACCCCATTAATCCCTGTATAAAAATTATTATGTCACGAGTTTTTGCCTCCCGTATCCATTATGTTGCATTCCTTTTTCTTTGATCACTTATATTTATGTATATAATTTAATTTTTTTTATTTTTCTTTTAATTTCATCATTCGCATATTCGTGACCCCTTCAAGGAATTATTTTGGCCTTTGCAATTAATGTGATTGGTATCAATTAAACCCTTGAATGGACATTTTGTCCCTCTCGATATTTTTATTTGTATCCATGTAGAAAACATCCAAATGTAATAAATTTAAGGGTTAGATTAAAAAAATTTTGGCTAAACCACGCAACTAGCTTAGATTAGGTTGAAAGGGTGCCTTAGGTTTGAGATAATTGAACCTTTGCTTTCCCTTTTTTCAACCGTGACTCCCGAACTCATTTTCTCTATTTTCAAAGATCTGGAGTTGTCGAAAAGAGTTTTATTTTATTTTATTTAAAAACACGTTTTGGGTGACTTGGTACACTCAAACTCGATACCAAGTGGTGACTCCTAATTTTTCTTAAAAATCCTTTTAGACCCAAATTGTCGCATTTTTAAAGTCCCATTTTAGGCCCTTTTTCATTTTTCATTTATAAAATCAAATCTTTTATAAACATCTTACACTTTATTTTTCACCGCGAAAAATGGGGCGCGACACCCCACATGATTGCATATGATTCTTTCAACTCCTGCTGGTCTCGAGTTTCTAAGTGAAGCACCATCAGTGTTGAGCAGAAGCAATCAAATTTTCTCCTTAACTATTTCAATTCAAAAGCACATATATCAAGGTGACACAGATCACCCTTTTTCATCAGTGTTGTGCCGGCTAGTCAGGCACTACTGTACATTATGTTTTGGAAGAAAAAT